ATAAATTTCTCTATTTTAGAGTACTACCTATCATGTCGTGAAAACATATGTTTGATATTTAACATTTATCTACGCGTGTCAGTTAGACTAACATGTATACAGCGAAAAGTTATGGGTAACAGCTGTTTATTTTAAATTTGATATTAAATTTCAAAAAATATTTCGTACATAAATTTACTTACCAGCACATTAACTGTTTGGGTTTAGTTAGTTAAAGTCCAATGTTTCAATGCTATGTTTAATGCATCATCTGCATGAAAATATGTTGTTACTTAACGTCATTTAAAGATCCATTTCTGTATCCTGAGAAGTGTCTTAGCTTACACTTATACAGAACTTTTTACAATGAAAGAAAAAAATATCCGTTTTCATATACATTTTGAGGTTGAATTAGCACATAATCACAAAAAATGTTAACTTAGTTTTATGAGCTTAAACAAAATTGATTAAAGAAAAATAAAGCGTTCTCTTATAACTTACATTTTATTTTTAGTAGATATCTCATATTAAAGTCACATTAAATCTTATTTTACTCTAGTCATTTCAACTCTAACGTAAAAGTGCACACGGTCTATTAATGTTTGTAGCAGCTCTACCCTTTAGACTAGACATATAAAAGTGCACACGGTCTATTAATGTTTGTAGCAGCTCTACCCTTTAGACTAGACATATAAAAGTGCACATGGTATGTTAATGTTTGTAGCAGCTCTACCCTTTAGACTAGACATATAAAAGTGCACACGATATATTAATGTTTGTAGCAGCTCTACCCTTTAGACTAGACATCTAAAAGTGCACACGGTCTATTAATGTTTGTAGCATCTCTACCCTTCAGACTACACACCTAAAAGTGCACATGGTATGTTAATGTTTGTAGCAGCTCTACCCTTTAGACCAGACATCTAAAAGTGCACACGGTCTATTAATGTTTGTAGCAGCTCTACCCTTTAGACCAGACATCTAAAAGTGCACACGGTCTATTAATGTTTGTAGCAGCTCTACCCTTTAGACTACACATCTAAAAGTGCACACGGTCTATTAATGTTTGTAGCAGCTCTACCCTTTAGACTACACATCTAAAAGTGCACACGGTCTATTAATGTTTGTAGCAGTTCTATCCTTTAGACTACACACCTAAAAGTGCACATGGTATGTTCATGTTTGTAGCAGTTCTATCCTTTAGACTACACACCTAAAAGTGCAGATGTTATGTTAATATTTATAGCAGCTCTATCCCTTAGACTAGACACCTAAAAGTGTACATGGTATGTTTATGTTTGTAGCAGCTCTACCCTTTAGACTTGATACCTAAATTTAAAACCTGGATACAATACAGTTACTACAAACATTATCATGCACGTCACGCATTTCTCCGTCAAATTTTATGGGTTTTGAAACCTTTCATGCTGTTTACATTTTACAGTGAATGCTCAGTTGAGCTTAAATACATGCTTACTTTTGCTTTTAATTTTGATATATTAAAGGTAAAGAAATACAGCCCTTTAACGATACCTTTCACAGTAACGTGTGGCCTGTGTGACATATACTGTCACCTTAGCATTAAGTTTCTCTGATAACATCTAATGCATTCGAATCGGTTACCTCACATCAGTGCAGCTCCTAATAAGCTATCAATAATTTGTTTTTCATGTTTAGGTGTGAAGAATACTACACAAATCCTTACTGCCTTACTACGCATGTACACATAGGAAAATAATCTGAAAGTGAACGAGTTCAATAATGTAATTATACCGAACTCCAAACATCAGACAGTATAGTATCTTTATTACTGTTTAATATAAACTTAAAATATTTGTGTATAACTAGCTTAGTTAGTGTGGAAATCGACATTTATTTATCTGCTAGGAAATTCCCAAAATTATTACTTTGGAATTTGAAATATATATTTCATACGATTTTAATGCACTTGGAACTTACTTTTATATTAAGTGAAGTGTCTATGTATTTGGAAACTAAATACAATGACATAAACCATGCACACCATTGTCTCCAATAATTGTCTATCTTCCGAGAGACTGTAAGTTATTTTAAGCTTTAGAGTAATGTTTAAAGTATTCCTCCATAAATATCACTGTTGAAGACATTTAACTCCGGTATTAGTGAATCTTATTAGTACAGTCAGTACGACTCCGTTCTCGAATGATTTCAAAGTCAAAGAGTATTTAAAGACTCTGATCAAATGGAATGTTATGCTTAGAATGTGTTGGTAAACAAACTTCATGAATGATATGCCAAGTCATGACGAGATGAAAGCTTTTCTTATTGATTGGTAAAGCAATGAGGCAGCCACGGTTTTGGAGGATCACTTTAAAGTATGTTTATGAAATGAAACCCCGGAATGTCTCTCATTAACTGCATGTTATCCACTTACAGTCGACAAATTAGAAGGGTCTGTACACCATTTTCACAAGCGTGATGAAGTAGAGAACTCTCACGTTTCAGCAAAATAAAGCAAGTTTTAATGAATTTTGATCTTGCATTGTTTGTTAATGAAGACGTATTAATACATGCTTATGCTCTTACAAATAAAGTTATTTAGTTATTATTGTATCTCTTTGTAGTTTCCTGATAAGCACTTTGAAATACGATACTCATCTACCAGTTATACATGCGAGGTTTGACTATTATAAGTTTCAGCCAGCAAGCTGTGTTTTGTATGTATATATTTATGTATGTGTTTTTTTTTATAGCAAGGTCACATCGGGCTATTTGCTGTGTCCACCGAGTGAATAGAACCCCTAATTTTAGCGTTGTAAATCCGTAAACTTACCGCTCTCCATCGAGCGGTGTTTTAACCATTGAATAAAATCGATTTTTAGTTTTCGCAAAGTGCTGTCACATTTAATATAAATTACATTCAGTCTATCTATCTATCAAAGTTAAGAAAAAAACAAGTACAAATGTTGTGTAACGCTCAGCTGATTTGTCCATTTTATCCAACACAGTTTTTTTCTAAGCATCCATAAACATTTTATAATAACAGACTAAAAGGGTTGTATGATAAGTCGAGTAAACTTTTATTATGTGTTGCTGGTGTGTGTACTTGCTTATACATTTCATAGTATGTCTTAACAGTGAACTATTTTGCTGTGCTAGTTGCTTAAGGTATTTTAATAGGCTACTTTATGTACTACCGCACGTTACTTCGAGAGTATCAGCTTAAGGTATTTTAATAGGCTACTTTATGTACTATTGCACGTTACTTCGAGAGTATCAGCTTTGTTCACGGGTTTTTTATAATCTACTTCGAAACTTATAAATATAAATAGACTACTTCGCATATTATCAGCAGATAGCTTTGTGTGTTATCGGCTATTTTGCGTGCCACCAGTAGACTTCTTTGAATGTTATTATTAGGCTACCAAGAGGGCTAGATAGCCAACATTGTTTTATTATAAAATAATGCTGTGAAAGTTATAAGTTGAATTTTCTATGAGTGTTAGTAACAGAGTATTCTATGCGTCTTACAGGCTAATTACAATTTCTTAATTTTTATAATGCTTTATTCTTTCTTTGTGTGTCAGGAAGTTTTAGTTACCAGGTGTCTGTTTCATGAAACAAGGCAAGTTTATATGTCTGAAAGGATTCCCAAACACAAAAATTTATCGACAAAAATACTCCCTGCACTTTAAGCTGTATATGCGTTATAAGAGTTAAGAGGGACAGTTTTTACTTTAGCGTGGATTGTAGTAATTAGGCTGTTGTTGACTTGCAATCAATAGTTAAAAATTAAAGATGGCAACAGAGAGCCTTAGTAACTTTGCCATAAAATACAAAATATAAATACAAACATTGAGCTTTGAATAATGTTTAAGCCTAATTTAAGAGAAGTTATGTAATAAAAACACAAGGTTTCTATATGTCAGGTGTATTCTGATGCAGTACTTTCTATCGAAAAGAAAAACTATAACTTGCTTTATCTACCAGTAACGATTAAAAAAAAAACATCTGAAGTGTGGATTCGGTGAAAATAAATATATCAAAGTTTATAATTAAGTGTTTTGAACCTGGTTGATATTTTTATATCATCCCAGTAAATAAAAAATGCAATTGTTCAAATTATGGAAACTTAAGGTTTAGATACTTAGTTTGGTAAAATAGTTAATAATGACTATAGTTGTATAGCATGATTTTTTTTTACGAAAATAGAAAACATTCACTGTGTTAAAGCTTCCACTGCGATATTCTGAGCACTCTATTATCTCTGAGCGCGTCAGGAAACTATATATAACTGATTTTATTTTGTATCTTGACAACATTTTTACTTTTTTCAAAACTGTAAATTTTAGGGCAGTATCTACTTCTTTGTGGCGCAGTTTTCAAACGTGACTGTCAAACTAATTGTGCAGAATTCCTTTATTTGTGTGTGAGAAAACTTCTTCAGTTTCTGTACTTGGCCATCGAATATAAATGTACACGTAGCAAAATAATTTCGAAGAGATAGCGCAATATTGATATTCAGAATCCGTGAAACAACTCAGTCATTTTTTTTATCTGCTTTGACAGTTAGTTGTGAAATAACGTGCACAGTTAACAACAAGTCTTATAACTTCAGGTTCGCCAATCTTAGGGAATTATTCTCGTAATAGAAAACAATCATCTCAGTAGTAACTACATTCAGTTCATAAAGTCATATACAACAAATTTAATCGTATCCATTTTCCATACCTAAAACAATGTCGTTTATTTGAGCTGATTCTGTAAATAGTGTCCAGAAAAAGTTTCCAGAACAATACTTCCCTAGCATAATGGATAATAAGACTGCTTTGTAGTAACGATGAAATTTATCTAATGAAGATATTGGAAATAAATATTATTCACAAAGTAAGAATAATTTAAACATGTGAAAGACATTACGTGATTGTAAGAAAATCGTACAAAATCAGAGGCATATTTAATTACCTTAGAAAAATCATGCTATACATGCACGGACAATAAGCGATATTTTCTAACGTTAATATAATCTACAATAATCTCACCTCGCAAAAAAAGAAGCTGCAGCAGATGATTTCCCGAAACTCGACCTTCCTCGCCAGGTGGAGCTGTAAGAACTTTCCTGACCAACTGAGCGTTGAGAGTGCCCAGAGAGAGCCAGAGAATGGGGAACTGAACAGCTAGAAGGGATTCTAGTAGAAACCATTTCTTTAATTCTCTGATAACTCTGAAGTTTCCTTGCATTGGGATTAAAGTTAATCCCTGTTTCGATCTCATGTCTTTTTAATGGTATTCGAGACTTATGTTCGTGGTTTAGGTTTTCTTTCTGCTCTGACTGTAGTGAATCACTTTTTTCACAGGTAACTGTATGATTGACACCATTACGCGAGAGATCCATCGGAGGAGTTATGATAACATCGGGAGTAGTGACTGTTTCCAAAAAAACCTGAAAAAAAAAGACATAACCTTCATCAACCCACTTAATGAACACACCAACAGCCTGAGTTAATCTATCGCTAAAGGTGATGAATTTTTACTTTTGAGTTTTTTTATTAAAATAATCTGATGGACACTAAAGTTTGGAAAGGGACAGAGATAAAGTGTATAAAAATTCATACATTCTAATGGCTTTTTCCAGAGCAAACTATATACCTGGTTTTAATAGACATTCTCAGGGCATTTATATGCATGCGACTTAATATTATCTTTGACATTTCAATGCGTTTCAATTACCAGTAGGGGGTTAAATTAGGTTAAAACAGTCCTCCTCTTGAGGGTTCATGCTATTAGCATTTCTATACTTCTGATTGGAATAAAAAAAGATCTCTGTTGTACCAAGCTGTAATTCACGTTACTACTACAAAGTGACTACAAAAGGGTGTTCCATCTCTTTCAAAATTCAAATTTATCCACTAATTATCAGCTATATTTAACATGTTTGAAGCAACTTCATTTGTTTAATAGAATAGGGAACAGAATTATTTGTGCAATTTAAAACTGCAGGCCGTTAAACTTAAATATGCAAGAATAACTAAAGCAAAGGCTGCAAAGATCTAAAGGTACTCATTTACCAAAATACTCTTACATTTTTTATCTATGGTAAATACTACTTTGATAAAGAATAGACTATTACAAACCTAAATGTAAAGACTTTCCAAAGCCTGAAGATACAATCAGATAGTGTTATAAAGCGTATTATTCATGCTTCTATTGGTGAGTTACTTATATTGAGACAAAAACAAAATAACCTGTTGTCGAAAATACTGCTATTAACTCCTAAATACAGGACACTGACAATACGTGTTCTAGTGTTGAAATAAATTTTCAATCTATCCACAGTTTTATTCAAATAAAGTTTTTCGCATTTTTTGTTTGGGCTTCTATTATTTCTCATCTTTTTTACTTAACTAAATGTAGAAATACGAAGTACGTACTAGTAATAACAAAATATAACAAATACTTTTTTCACAAATATTTGTGTAGTTTTGCGCGAATATCCAAACCAACTCGCAAACATCTATTGAGCATGAACATCATAGGTTAAGTTTGGTTTGTTTAGAACTTTTGCGAAACGCTATACAAGGCTATTGTACTAACAGCTTTCGGCAACTGTTTAGCAATTTATCCTTTCTCTTTGCACATGAAAAACCTGTTTCACTTATAAAGAGTATATTTTACGAGAGGTTTCACAAAGTACGTCTACGTACTGCTACAAATTCACAAGCTAAGTTTTCCGGGTAGAATCAATATTCATAGTGGCGTGATGAATTATGATGTAAAGGTTGCCGGTAGATTCATCCGGTACAGAGGGTATTATGGTGCTGTAATAAAGTATGGATTACAGATAAACGGTAGGTCCATTAAACAGAGTCTGTATTAATGCCGGCATAATGAAGTAGGACTTAAAGAGTAATGGTAAGTGTATCTCGAATAACTCTTGTTAAATAGATATGATAGATTATTTCGTATAAATTCACGGTCAACTAACCAATTAGAGCAGTTTTTAATAGGGTCATAATGAATTATTTCTTATAAATTCACGGTCAACTAACCAATTAGAGCAGTTTTTAATAGGGTCATAATGAATTATTTCGTATAAATTCACGGTCAACTAACCAATTAGAGCAGTTTTTAATAGGGTCATAATGAATTATTTCTTATAAATTTACGATTAGCCGATACAGCCGTGTTGATATTGCAACAATAAAATATAAATCATCAAGACAAATGATAAAAACTTGGTTGTTTCTGTTTTTACTTCCTGCCTAAAAGCTTTCTCCTTACGTGAATTATTCTATCAACTGATTTCCTTAACGACTGGAAGAATTATATTAAAGTTTAAGATTCGTAATGATGCATTTCGTTAACTTACTATTGTATAAAAGTGGAAGAAAATCAGAGATACATGTCGTATCTTTAAAACTTCCGCGAAACGGCAGTCGCGTAATGGAGAATTTGTGCATTTGTGTTATTTTAAAATAATGATGAAATGACACATTTCGTTCTATTTTACCAAAATTTCCATGAAAAGCATTTCTATTAACTGAAAAACATCACAAAATGAAAAGTATAACAGCGAAAACGAATTTTTTAACAATATTTCTGTTTGCCAGTAACAAAAAGTAGTTTGCTTTGCAAGGAATTTAAGTAAATCGTAGTAATTGTTATAGAAGAATATTCAATATACTACATTGATAGTTTTTCTTGAAACTAGATCAAGATATGTTTTATAGGTTAGATATACTTCAAAGAAAGGTTTCACCCCCAAAAAATAATGAGTAAGTTAAGATGGTAATGCATAATCAATGTAATTGATCTACGCCGTTTTAAGATTTAGACGTAGAACGTTAAATATTTTTGCAAGAAACAAATTCACACAAAGGAAAATTTTCTTGCTAATTGAAGATCTCGTGTTTGGATTTTTCTAACCCAAATATGTATAAAGAAAATTGTTTGCACAGTCCCTGCCACGGGTGACAGTAGTCAAACAAACATTTGAAGAGGAGTTGTGCTTCGACGACGAAATAAGGGGGGTGGTGGACTGACGAAAAATAAAAATGTTATTAAACGTATCAGAATTGCGTTCGCTTCACTAACCTTTAATGATTTCTTCTTCAAATTAGGCAAGAAAAAAATCAAACACGTTTCTCAATTTTCGGCTTCATTGAGTTTTCTCATTAAATGCAATCCACGTTCTTGACCACATCTTTTTCTTCTTAGTATATTCGACTTATTGATGCCTCAAGCTTCGTAATTAATGGATTGTATTATTTCCTGTTGAAAAGAGAAAAACAAAAAGATAAAAATATAGAAGTAATTTCAGCTCAGAAAAATAAATGAAAACTAAAGTGTTCACAAGAGAGTACGAAATAATAGTAACACGAACCTAAATTTACTGTTGGAAGTCTCAAAATTTTCGACACTTGTATTTTTCACG